ACACACACCTTTCCTGATTTTAAACCACGCAGTATCCCCTTGATCTGTTCAAACGACTGTCTCTTGATCTGTGTACAGGTTTCTTATGAGCACAGTTAAGTGTTCTGGATATGCAGATAACACAACCTTGCTTGCTAAAAGTGAAAAAGACTGGAAGCATTTACTGATGAAGATCCAAGACTGCAGCCTTCAGTATGGATTATACCACAACATAAAGAAACACAAGTCTTCACAACTGGACCAATAGGCAGTATCATGATAAATGGAGGAAAGACTGAAGTTGTTAAGGATTTCATTTTACTTTACTTGGATCCACGATCAATGCCCATGGAAGCAGCAGTCAAGAAAGCAAGCAACATATTGCATTGAGCAAATCTGCTGCAACAGACCTCTTTAAAGTGTTGGAGAGCAAAGATGTCACTTTGAAGACTTAAGTGTGCCTGACCCAAGCCATGGTATTTTCAATAGCTATATATGCATGTGAGAGCTGGACAATGAATAAGGAAGATCATAAAATAATTGATGTATTTGAATTATGGTATTGGAGAATAATATTGAATGTACCATGGACTGCCAGGAGCTCTGGTGGCGTAGAGCCTAAGGCACTTGACTGCTAACCACCAGCTGGTGGGTTCAAACCCACCAGCCACTCCTCAGAAGGAAGGCTGGGCAATCTACTTCCGTAGTGATACTGCCTCAGAAACCCAAGGAGGGGTCGCTATAAGTTGGGGCCGACTCGATGGCACATAACAACAACAACATGGACTGCTAGAAGAATGAACAAATCTCTTCTGGAGGAATATGGCCAAATGCTCCTTAGAAGTGAGAATGGCCAGTCTTTGTCTTTTGTACTTTGGTCAAGCTGTTAGAGGGGACCAAACTCTGGAGAAGAATATCATGCTAGGTAAAGTAAAGAGTAAGGGAAAACCCACAACAAGATGGATTGACACAGTGGCTGCAGTGATGGGCTCAAGCATGGCAAAGATTGTGAGGATGGCACAGGACCTGGCAATGTTTTATTCTGTTGTACACAGAGTCACTATGAGTTGGAGCTGATCCAATAGCACCTAAAAACAGAAATGCTGCTTCTGGAAACCTTGTAGTTTAACTTTTAGCAGTGATTTTTATTATAGGTTATTGTGGTAATTGTAGAGTAGAACATTCAAATCTAAAAAAGATAGATCCAAATTATTTGAAGCAAGAGAACTGAGAGCCAGTCACTCAGGGATATGAAGTCCTTCCAAGAAGCCTGAGCTGTAGAATATAGGAGCCAAAGCTGAAACTCTCCAACCCTTTGGCAAGAATGCAACACTTAGGCTTCCTAAGGATGGGCAGAGAGCCCCAACCCTCAGACAGCTCCTTCTTAACTGTTGACATAAGAAATAAACCTGCTTAAGAGAGAAATTGATAAAAAGCAGAAATAGGATTTTATAAGGGTTGAGTAATATATTCATTTCTGCACATGAGGTCATAAACTTATCATTGAGCTTTATCCTCTGAAAATAAACACTTCAGTATATTTTGTGACACAGTGTTTACATCTGGTATGTGCTTGTTATTCAGACTTTGAGCATCAGTCAGTTGGATAATGAATAGTGACTGCTGAGGTTTCTGCTACATGGCATCCATGATGCACTGGCTACCAGAATATAAAAATATTTTCTGAGAACAGTTCAGTTAAGCCTCAAAAAGCAGAGAGGAGTAGCATATTAGCTCTAGGTCATCTGTCTTGCATTTTCAAGTGTTTTACTTGTGGTTGATTTTCCCCAAGAAGCAGAAGCTAAACTTTCTTGTTTACTTTCTGAATAAAAAATAAAATAATTTGCATTCTTTGAGCCCAGGACAACAGATGGTGATGGTGAGTTGTCAAAAACATACTGGATGATAAAGGAAAGTAAATAACCAATGAATTTTAATTTGACACCACCACCCCCGAAAATCACAAAACAAAGATTCTTCACATCAAAGTTGGTTTCTTTCATCTATTCTGGTAAAGAGATTTCAAACTCTGCATCTTGTCACTTTAATTTTTATGGAAAATAAAGAAAGGCACAATAACAAATTAACTGTCAAAAAGAATAAAATCCAGCAAAACGAATTGTCAAAAACTTAGTAAGAACTTTAATGTCCAATAATAGACCAATGGGAATGGTTAAATAAATTATGATATATCTACTCAACGGGATATTGATGTATCCAATAACATATATTGAGGGTGGCATGTGGGAAATATTTGTGAGATAGTATTAAGTGTGTGAGGGATAAAAATTGTCACATACTGTAATTAAAACTATAAATAAGTATGATGCTGTTGTTAGGTGCCATCATGTCAGTTGCAACTCATAATGATCCTATGTACCACAGAAAGAAACACTGTCAGATCCTGTACTATTGAAGGTGGACCAAACGTGGGTCCCTGCCCAGTGTGTCATTAGGCTGAATTAGTTTACACACACCAAGTGCCTGAGAGGAGAGAAAGATTATTTATTGCAAAGCAGCAATGCAAGGAGACAAAATTACCCAAATCTGTCTCCCCAAGTGGAGGTTGGGATACAGTCTTTGCAAAATTAAAAAATGTCAGGAATTTGGGCATGAATTAGCTGGGGATTGGCTGAGGCTTCCTTTGCCTCGGTTTAAATGGACAGTCAATTTTTAATGCTGTGTGCTTGCAAACCGGATGAGTCACACCAACTTCCTGTCATCAGCTGATCGGGACTTGGGCAGAGGGGAAGATGTCAGTTCCCAGAAACTTTGTTCTGGTTTGGCGCACTCTGCATGTCTGTGGGCCAAAACTGATTTCAAGGTGATATTGGTTGTTTCTGAAAAACAACTTCGAGGAAATGCATTTACATGCCTATTCATCTGTCTCCAACTAGGATGGGGGGATAATAATAGACAGGATGGGGGACTGAGCTTCAATTCTACAAAGCTCTTAGGGAGCCAGGTTATCATGTCTGCTTATCTGTCTTCTACCAAGGTGGGGATAATAGGATGGGGGATTGAGTGTCAATTCAGCTTAGCTCTTAAGGAACCAGGTTATCAGGTCTGCTTATCTGTCTTCTACCAAGGTGGGGATAATAGACAGGATGGGGGATTAAGCTTCAGTTCATCACTCTTAAGGAACCGAGCTATCATGCCCACTCCACTGTCTTCAGCCAACGTGGAGATAATAGACAGGATGGGGGATTGAGCTTTGATTCTACTTGGCTTCACCATCCTCACAGCTGTTCCTATGTTTCAGCCCATTGTTACAGCCAAGGAGTCATTCCATTTTGTTAAGGGTCTTCCTCTTTTTTGGTAACCATCCACTTTACCAAGCATGATATCCTTCTCCAGGGACCAGTCTCACCTGACAGTATGACCAAAGTACAAGAGGTGAAGTCTCACCATCTTCGCTTCCAAGGAACATTCTGGCTGTATTTCATCCAAGACAGATTTGTTTGTTCTTCTGGCACTTCATGGTATATTCAGTATTCTTCGCCAACACCATAATTTAAAAAAAAAAAAAAAAGGCATCAATTCTTCGGTCTTCCTTATTCATTGTCCACCTTTTGCATGCATATCAGGTGACTGAAAACTCCATGGCTTGGGTCAGGCACACCTTCATTTTCAAAGTGACATCTTTGCTCTTTAAGAAAATATAGCTCAAGGAAAAACTAAAAGGAAGTATCAAAATGCTTTAAAACTTTGCTCTAAAACAAAAAACAAATCTGAGCCTTCAAGTGGAATCCAACTCACAGCAACCCTATCGGACAGAATAGAACTGCCCCATAGGGTTTCCAAAGCTGTAATCCTTCCAAAGCAGGCTGCTACATCTTTCTCCCCGGGAGCAACTGGTGGGTTCAAACCTTTCTGTAAGCAGCTGCGTGCTTAACCACTGTACCAAGGGTTCCCTGCATTAGGGCAGTGAAATGACTTGCTTTTTTTTTTCCATCTGTTTTCCAAATTAGATATAACGATCTTTAATGGATAATAAATTTATAATCTAAAATGAAAAGGAAAAACTTTTTAAAGTAATAATTATCATTAACACCTCTTATTATCTGCAAAATCTGGAATACTAGATATCTTTGAGGCTTTTGACAGTAGTGTAAATATGAGTGATTAGTAACCCTGGAAAGCCCTTGTTCAACTCTGTGATTCTAAAACCACTTCAGGATTTGGGTCACTGAGCAGAGGACACAGAAAGAAGCATCTCTAAAGAAAGAAACTTTTCAAAGTATGTCATGTGTTTGACACTGGGCAAAGACAGCTTCCCAGAGGGAGAAACTGCACATTCAGTAAAGCAGAATCACAGCTTGGCAAATGGAGCAGCCTTTTAAACTCCTTTCCAAAAGGAAGCAGTGATTCTAAGTGGGTTCTTCTCAAAATTTCTTTCTATATCATCCCTTTTCCCAAGCTTGTCATTATCTCATGGCCATTCAGCAAACTCTACCTCAGCCCTCCAGCCTCCACTAAAACAAATGAATCAAAATGAATGCCCCTGGGGCCTTGGAAAGGGACAGGAAGAGAAAAGTGACTTTGTCCTTTAGAAGGGTCTGACAGAAAGCAGGCTGAGGTAGGTGACTATTCCACAGAGCAGCAGCACCTCAGGGAGCTATAGCTCCTTTTCAGATTCTCCATAACCTCTCTAAAAATAGAGCAACTCACAATAAAGTCACTTCCCAGAAAAGAATAGAGTGAAGGGGACCTGTGGAAGGTATATCTTGAGGTGACAGTGTAGCCAGAATCACAAAAAATTATTAAGAATTTCAACATCTGCATTCTTTTCAGAAGGGTCCTGTTGTTACCAGTTTCCTGTCTGAGTCATTATCCAATATTGCTTCCAGAGTTCTTGTCCACAGCAGACACTGCCACAAAAGATTCTCATAAATGTCATTACATTTCATGATGTTGTTGGATTCTGGTTTGAAGAACCTTCCCAAAGTCCCAGTCTGCCAACATTGCTTCTTTTCTACCCTCTGCCATTTTTGAATGTTCCGTTTTCTAATCAATGCTAGGTGGTTCGAGATCAGATCTCTCATTGTACAGTGAAATTGCGCCAGACCACAGGTCTCATGGAATACTGCCTGGAGGTGATCAAAGAAAATGATCCCAGTGGTTTTTTGCAGGTAAGTGCCAACTAATTTCTGTTTCAGATTCTAAGTGCTCCATGAGACTAAGTCTAGGACCCCTAGGATACACTCCCAATGACTCTGGCTGGGCATAGATCCCTGTCTAATGGAACCTCTACCTTCACATTTCCATGTGCATGTTGGTGACTCTTGAGTCTCACTGACTTTCTGGAAGTCTCAGCCACCAGGTGGTAGAAGACTGAGAAGTGCAGGTTTTTTTTTTTTCTTATATTTAATCATGAAAACATAATTCCTTGTAAGTTCTTCCAAAGCAGAGGTATTGCCTTGCCTAAGAATTGGGTCCTTTTCCACTAATACATCCGGGGCAGTTTTGCCAGGTAGAAATGCCTAAATAAAGACACACTAGGAATCTGCCAGAAAGTCAGTGATTTCCCACGTATGATGAAATTTCTCTTGTATGTTTCATTATTTCTTTGGTGATAATTGTTTTAGTAGGTACTCTGATGTAAGCAAATTCTAGTTGAGTTATAATCCTTATGATAAGATACCTTTTGTTAAGGAACATACAGATCCCTCCAACTCAACTAAACTGGCAGAATGATAGAGGGAGACTGAATGTAAATTAAATGAAAGATTTTCCTACCAAAGAATTAAGTGATAACCACACAAAGGTGATGTACTTAAAATGTAAGAAATTCCACTTTGCAGATTATCATATGCAGCTTCTCTAAACTATTTTGTGGAACTCATTTCCAAGTCTTGGTAGGACACCCACACCTCAAAATAAAATGTTAGGGTTGTTGGCTCCAGTAGGATTAACTAATTACCTACATATCATTCTTTAAAGCTGCTGGGTTTTAGTGGATCATGAATAGCATGATCATATATTCAGGTTTGTCTATTAGATCAAGTCCCTGGGTGGTGTAAATGGTTAAGTGCTCAACTACTAATTGAAAGCTTGTGGTTGAACCCAGCCTTGGAAGAAAGAATTGGAGATCTACTTCTGATGATCACAGCCTTCAAAATGCTATGGAGCAGTTCCACTCTGAACACATAGGGTCACTAGGAGTTGAAATACTTGATTGTAGCTGATAGTTGTTTATAGTGCTCCTCCCCTCAAACACAAACATTTCCAGAGTAGTGTGATAAATCATGGGTCACCCTAGTCACAAGAGGCTCCACCTCATCCACGCTGGCATTAAATCCATGGAGACAGGAAGAGGTGATTGCCAGGGTGGTTTGGTGAAAATGCTCTAGGACAGTCGAGGAGCAGTGTTCTGTTTCGAGTGTGGTGTTGTATTTCTTAGGCTGTGGTCTTTGATGTGATTAGATTTCTGATGCACTCATAAGGAGAGTGCACCTGACTGAGGATCAGTGGGGAAAAGGCACGCTCACTCCCAGGATGACCACAGACTTCGACTTGAGTTTGGACAACAGTTCTCTGCTGCAATCCATTCACCAGCTTGACTTCGTGCAGATGAAAGGTATGTGCTTGCATCCACTGTGTCAGATAACAACATCCAAGCAGACACAGGTGCTTGAAACAGGATAAAAACTGTCTGTCAAATTGCAGCAAATGAATGGCAGATGCCAGGCTTATGAATCACCCGATACGTGCAAAAGTAAATACACATACCTCTGGTTAATGTTACAAAAATCTGGAGAGGCTTTTATATTTTCATGTAATAAGAAGGTACACTTGTAGCTATGTGACCTCCCTGTTAGTAAGTCAGATAAGTTCAGTGCTTGCCCCTTGTGGAATCTTAGAGATTTCACATGTTCAGCATCAGATTTAGGGAACAAGAGAACATTTCAAAAAACAAATCAAATTGACTGCCATTGAGTCGATTCTGACTCATAGTGACTCCTGTTGTGTTCCCAATGTTATAAATCTTTACAGAAGCAGACTGCCTTATCTTTATTCTGCAGAGAAGCTGGTGGATTTGAACCACTGATCTTTTGGTTAACAGCCAAATGCCTTAACCACTACACCACCAGAGCTCCTAAAGAGAATGTTACTATATGTAAATAAAATCTTGTTACAGAAAGTATGAAAATGCAGAAATATTGACATAAATCAAGGGCATCCAGGGTTGAAACTACTGCTTCCACATGGATAGCTAGTGAGTAAATGGCTTGATCATAGATGAATGGAAATTGCAGAAGGTCATAGTCAGCATGCAGTGCTGGTCAAGGAAAAGAGAGCCTGGATATAATTGAAATAAACTTTAAAATTAGGTGATATGATAAAGGGATGTGACAAGATCTCGCTGAGAGTTTTGGCAGTTAGGGGGACGTACAACTACTTAAAATTATCTTAAGGAAAATAACTCTTTCAAAGAAAAAGAAAAACTGAAGCCTACCATGCAATAGTATTTTTAGGGCAGTATAATACCCACTTGAATATTTAAGATCTCTTTTGTTTCAACTTTTTATTTTGAAATAAAAATACATTTTTAGGAAGTTGCCATAATAGTAAGCAGAGGTTATGTGTACCTTTCACCCAGTTTCTTTCAATTGGTACACCTTACATAAGTATACTATAATATAAAAACCAAGAAATTGCCATTGGAACAGTGTGTGTATAATTGCATGCCATCTTATCACATGCGCAGATTCGTGTAACCACCACCTCAAACAAGATACAGAACTGCTCCATCACTACAAACACTTCCCTGATCTGCCCCTTTGGTAATCACACCCACTCCCCTCCCTCCACTATCCCTTACCCTGGTGACAACCAATCTGTTCTCCCTCCATCTCTATAATTTTTCATTTTCTAATCTTTTTTAAAACTGAAGAAATTGATTTGCTCTTGCACCTCCTGATTTAAACATCCACATAATAAGTGAGTGTTTTTGTTTTTCTTTCCTTAAGAAAAATCTGTAGGCGTCCTTTTATCAGACAGAGAAAATCATATAACCTAGCAAGTTTTAGGGCTACGTATTTAGGACTCCTGTCACATAGTTGAACTCATCCCAATACCTGGTAAATACACTTCTTTCATTTTTTTCATGGATATTTGCTCTTTTATCTTCAGTTGTCTTTTTTTATTTAATGTGTAATGCTTTGGGAAGCTGCCTTAATTAGTTTTTAAGTAATGTGTGCATTATAAATAAAAATGCTTTGCTACAGTAACAAAAATATTTAGCATTTATTGACTGCTTACCTGACTAGACACTCTCCTAAATGCTTTGCATGGATTAACTCATTTTATTCTCACAACCCTACTAGGTAATTGAGGAAGGTGAAGCACAGGAAAACTAGGTTAATTGCCTGAACTCAGACACCTAGTGACTGGTGGGGCTGGGATTCAAACCCAGGGAGTGTAACTTCAGAACCTAGACCCACAACTTCTCATTTATGCTGTGATAGCTAGTGCCTTACCAAGTGATTTCTTCAAGGAATAACTGAATTCCTCCCTTAAACTTGAGAAATCTAGTTTTTTGTTACAGCAGGTTTTCTTTCCATTTAAAAAATTTTCTTTAACGCCTACGTGCTAGTTTATGGAGTAAAGCCATTGGTGCAGTAAGGTCTCTGGGTATTGTACTTAAGCTCTTAGCTACTAACCAAAAACTTGGCAGTCTGAATCCGTCCAGAAGTTCCTCAGAAAAAAGGCCTGATAATCTATTTTCAAAAGATCATGGGCATTGAAAACCTTATGCAACTGGGCTGTTTGTTTCTGGGGGGAGGTATTAATAGGGTATGTTGTTGTTATGTGCCGTCAAGTCGGACCCGACTCACACTGACCCCTCCTTGGGTTTCCGAGACAGTATCACTATGGAAGTAGATTGCCCAACCTTTCTTCTGAGGAGTGGCTGGTGGGTTTGAACCACCAGCCTTCTGGTTAGCAGTCAAGTACCTTAGACACTATGCTACCAGAGCTCCTATTAGTAGGGTATAGAGCAACCCATGTAAATCCCCCTCAATCAGCTTCTCTCTGTACTCAGTTATTTCAATGAAGTAAAACCAGGTCATGGCACAAGTAGCACAGAAGAGAAAATGTGTCATGAAAGGGCAATATAAGGGCTTTTGGTGGAAGAGGAAAAAGGGAGCCAACCCAATTAGCCTTGGTAATAGGACAGGAGGAGGGGACTGTTAGAGGGTAAAACCCTCAGGGCTTTGAAATGCTTTCATCAGCTGCAGAGCCCTCCCCTCCCCCATTTGTTGCCTCTCAGTCATGTCCATCTGCCCACACTGGAGTCCGGGCCAGTTGGCAGGTTGGTAACAATTGTGTTGGAGTGAACAGGCCCTTCATCTAGTATGGGAACTGCAGGCTCACGTGCTGTGCACCACAGAGCACATTTCTAAAGCACTGCCCCTTCCTCTCTGGCACATGGCCATTTAGGACTGCACATACAAATAAATGTGGACACAGATGTGTGTGCAGTGCATGAAAGTATATACATACAGCAGAGAATGACAAACATGCTACCCAACACAGAACAATCTCAAAGTAAAAGTTCACCTGGAACACAGTATTATCCAGAACAGTTATTTATGAAGTTATTATAACAGGCCATTTGGTATGAGACTGGATTATTCCATTTTCCTTTTCTTTTTAGCACTTCATCTTAATTTAATTTACTTCTGATTATTATCTCTCAGTAGAGTTAATTTATATGCTTTGCCTGTGCTCATTAAGTTTAATTAATTCAGTGCGAACCCAATCCTGTTTAGAATCTGAATAATTTTTATTCTGTCAAATGCCTGAGATGGAAAGAGAAAGCCAAAAGGTCATGATGCAAGAGAAGGTGACTGGCTGTAGTTAAGATTTCTCCTCCCGGCCCTTTTGATATGTTAACATACACAACTATACAACTGTTCCCAACATAGTGTTAATGTTGTTTTTTAAATAAATTCTAATTCTGTGTAATAAATGAACTTTCACAGCTTGTCAATAAAATATATCTCAAGAAATTTCACCCGAAAATCCACATACAACTGATCAAAATTTAACCAGCACTTGGAATAGTATTCAAGTAGTCTGATCAAGAAATTAACAATACATGTAATTCAATATGTATTTTCTAAATGTGCTAAGTGGACTACCATATGAAGTTAAAATATTTTTAAATAACTTAAAATATGCATTTAGAGTTCTGACTTGAAACTGATCACTAGACTCTCTGTTCAGTTCTTGACTCAAAACTTTAGCAACCATCTCTCTAGTTTTGAAATCTTGTCTCACATACCTTTTTAAATTTTTCCTTGACACCAAGGAAGAGGGACTGCTATTAGTTTTAAAATATGTCTACTCAGATCAGGCACTACTCAGCAAGAATGTACTGCCCAAAGTTATTTGGTTCTGAGCTAAAGATTTAACTGATCTTCTAACTCCACATCTCTCCCAAGCAATTGAAATCTAGCTGGAGAATGCTAGTACCAACTTCATTCAAGCATTCCTAGATTGGGATGACATGTTCTCTGACCGTATTCTGATTAGAAAATCATCTTACTACCTGTAGTAGTTCAGTTTGTGTGTCAACTTGGCTGGGCCTGGTTGAGTGGCTGGGCAGCTGGATGTAGTACTCCCAATCATGAGACTGGTAATCAACTCCATGGTGGAATCTACTGGGAGCAGCTGAGTAGCTGCCTTAGGGAATGTGGTCTGCTTCCTGTATAGAAGCAGAAGCCTTGGGGAATGGTCTCTGGCTTATGGCACGCTTGGATCCTGCATGTAGCTGTGTCTTTGTTCAGCAGCCTGCCATGCTCTGCCAACTTTGGGACTTACAATGGACTTTAATTAATGACCTGCCGTGTGGTTTGGTAACATCAGGACTATGCCTTTTTACTTGTCAGCCTTGGGCTTGGCAGCCTCAGCAGCCAGCAGCTGTCTGAGTAAAGAAAAGCCTCTAGCTCCAGTGGGCCGGGAGCTCGAGGCACAGCTAGAGCCCAAGGCTGAGGGGCTTTCACCCATGCCCTAGAGCTTGGCACTCTGAATTTGGACGTAAAGCCTCTAAATTGCAAGAATAAACTCCTGTTTGTTAAGGTCATCCCATTTGTGGTATATTCTTGTCAGAGCAGTACTAGGTAACCAGAACACTACCTTTCCAGACTATTGGGAGAGGTGTTTGCTCTTTCAGAGTTTTATAGAAAACAGCAGATTAAACTTTGTTTTCTCTTTATATTACAGAGAAATAAAATTATTTTTCTTTAATTCTTGCCAGCTCTTTCCCAAGTCAGGAAAAAGACATTTTAAGATTCTCTTGTAATCTGTCAAGGGCTCTACTGCATGGTTTAAGGGTGATCAGAGTACCCCAAGATTCATGAGTCATTGTGCTGAAGTGAAATGCCAGTATGTTCATTCTGAACAAAGATGAAACAGTGACCTAACATTCAACCAAGTCTAGCACAGAAATCAATTGCTGTTAATCCCTTTAAGTGCTTCTACTCACCTAAGGACACATTTATCTTCATTAACTTATGGTGAATGCAATAACCCTGAATATGCACCAAGGTCATGGGCAAGGACAGTGTGATCTGAACAGACACCACTATAAATCATTGAGAAAGAGTTCCCAGAGGTTAGCAGTGGTGGTGAAAAGCACACAGGCTGATTCACATGTAGTCTGTTCATTCTTGTATGATTTGGATGCCAGAAATGCATATCCTCAAAACAGGCATCGTGTTTATCCTTGACAGTGTGCCACTGATAGATTTCCAGAAATGGCTTATGTTCCTCTAAAGTTTAAACTACCCTTCAGATGTTATTTATACTGTTCATCCGTTATAAAAAGTATACAAATGAACCTTCAGAGAGGAGGATTCAGAAAAATTGAATTACCAACAACTATAGCTCTAAATTCATTAATATTTTGTTAATCTATACTAGCAATACTTAGGAATCTTTATCATCAGTTATAGGAGCCAGAAAGAATCTTTCCTCTTGGAATTAGGTATGGGGACTTAGTTCCACTCTGTGATTTCCAAACACCAGGCTAGAGAAGCAGTGTAACGCAGTACAAAGCACACTGCTCCTGGAGCCACCCTGCTGGGTTTAAATCCCAGCAACGCTACTTACCAGCCATGAAACCTTTCTGAGTTTCAGAAGTGGGGATTCAAGCTATGAAATAGGGATGATAATAGTACCTACGATCCGGGGTTGTTGTGAAATTAAATAAGTTAATACATATAAAACTCTCACCACACTGTCTGGCATTTAGTAAGTGTTCAGAAAACATCACCTGTGATGATTACTCCATGTTGAGGGTGGCAGCCTAACTTCCTTTTCTCAAATGTCCTCGTGGCACTCCTGTTTACTTTTACAGAGGAGTTCTGGATGGCTGTAAGCATTCACAATCTGAAGGATTAGAGAAAAAAATTAAATATGAAAAATATGAGCTATAATTCAAAGTAGAGTAGCCTTAAAAAGGTAAGAGCAAAGGTCTAACTTTGCTATAAGAAGCCACTATTGCAGAATAAAACGTGGAGCTACAGCAATGGTAAAGCAAAAGGGCTAAATTTGACGTGGCTTCACCAGACTTCATCAAGAAATCAAGAATAGCTGCCCCTTGTATCTAGAAGAGTCCTGGTGGTTAAGTGTTCAGATGCTAACCGAAAGGTCTGAGGTTCGAATCCACCAGCTGCTCCACAGGAGAGATGTAGCAGTCTGCTTCTGCAAAGATTTACAGCCTTAGAAATCCTATAGGGCACTTCTACATTCAAATTGATTCAACAGCAACGAGTTTGTACCTGACAAGAAAATTTTTAGCCCAATGTTTGACTTTATAGGCTAAAAGAATACTAAGAACTAGATTTCTGATCAGGTCAAGGAGAACTAGGTCTTAACCAGGAAGAAACAAAGATGCCCAGGGATGATCATGAAAGTCTTAAGATCAAGATAGCTATGGCAACCCCAATGACAGGAGCTTCACCACAATAAAACACTGTCTCTTAGAGTTCAGTCCAGAAACTGTGGCACTATCCATATCCAAACCACAGAAGGCAAATTAATTTGAAAGTACTTTGGATTTTTGTAGACCATTTATTTTATTCACAAAATAAAGTGAAATAGGGTAACATAACACTCACCATAAAATCTATTTTTCCAAAACATCAACTTAGTCTTCGGTAATGAGCCTGTAATTTTGTCACATTTACCTTTTATATGCAACATCATTTTGGGATAAATAAGGAAAAACAAAAATAGTTCTCAGCATATTAAGAAGTAGATTTTGACATATGTAAATGTCTCTGGGTTTATTCTTTTTTTTCTTTCTCTCTTTTTTCCCTATCTTTCTTTCCTTTCGTATATTTTTTTTGTTTGCTTATTTGTTTAAATCTGAATATTAGATCTAAATATTAGTGAATGGTTAGACTTTTTTCTATCCTTTTGTTCTTTTAAAGTGTATCCTCTGAGGACTTACAAATGAAGTTCTAATGTTTTAATTATACATGACACCATGTATTTCAGTTAATTCTATAATTATGTCTATGCAGGGAAAATTGAGTTTCTTATCAAAGACACTGCAAGTGCAGTATTTGTATGATTCAAGGAGAAACCATCTTGTGATCTTATTGATTTTATAATTGATAAAATGTAGACTTGCCTAAAATATGAATATTGGGGAAATGAAAGATTGATATGGGTGTTAATGAAATAAGAAAGTCCAGGGAATAGTTTTATGGTAAGCTCTAACTAATAAGAACAGTTATCCCAGGGAAAGTCATTTATGTCTGTAGAAGACCTTTGAAGAACGGCTTGGTCCAACTTGTCATATTTTATATCCGCAGTTAAAATTCTAAAATGTATAAGGAAAACACATTTTGAATGACAAAGTACGTCCCTAACATTAATAGTGATTAAGTAAACTGTCCATTGGCACTCCTAGGTCATGCCCCTTTCATCCAATTTACAATCTCTTTGCATCCAGACCTGCAGTCTATTTATTGGACGAGGAAATGAATGTTTCCTCTAAATCCAGAGGGTCTGAGCACATCTGCAGCTGAACAAGTCATTGTTCTCAGAGATTTTATCCAAACCTGTGCCATTGAAACTTGGTACATAATTTCCCTTCTTAAACTGATTGATTTCAATTAGCTGGTCACTAATCTTGAATTGGGAGCTCTGGTAGCATAGTGGCTAAGGCACTTGACTGCTAACCAGAAGGCTGGCGGTTCAAACCCACCAGCCACTCCTCGGAAGGAAGGTTGGGCAATCCTACTTCCATAGTGATACTGCCTCGGAAACCCAAGGAGGGGTCTCTATGAGTCGAGGCCGACTCGACAGCAAATAACAACAACAACAATCTTGAATTAATTATGTTTGATTTAGTAATTCAGACACGGTTTTATTATAATGGATAGTTGACCTACTTTTTCTTCACCTTCACATCTGCATGTTAGAGTTATTGCTTTTGTTTTCTAGGTTATCCACCGCAAAACGTGTTTTCTAAACTGCTGTTAAATCAACCATTTTTTTAGTTGGGGTAACTGGCAAGGAGCAGATTTAATTCAAGGCATGACACACAGAGTCCAATTTTGATACACATACCAGGTGTTCCATGATTAACATTTGTTCATCTAAATGTCCCTGGATATGGTCCAAGCTGTTCTCACCTTCTATTAGAGTGCTAAAGAAATAAATCAATGTTTTGATGCTTGAAAAAGTATTTTAAGCAGTTGATAAAGATTTTATTCCCAACTCTGTATACTAAGTTCCTATTTTAAGGACTGGGGTTGTTCCTTAACAAACATTTCTGTGTCTGTTTGTCTGAAGGTTCAACTAATCTGCAGGTTTGAATAGGACAAAAGATTCTCAGTACAAAATAGGGAGAGGGGGCATTGTGAGTAGTAACGCCATGGCAGGTGCTCCCAAGGCTATGAGGACCCTTTGAACCCTCCTCTGCTGCACTGCAGCCTGCGGCCATATGGACTCTCCAGGCTCACGGTGGGGTATTCTGTAGCTACAGAGCAAGTGATTTGGGGCAGGTGCCCTTTTCAAGGTATAACTGTCTCGAGTGAATGACTCAGGATCCTCAGAAGTTTAGAAACTGATAGATCACTGTTTGTGTCACTTGGTATCAAATTTTCAAAGACACACTGCTATAGCTATTTGCATACACAAGATCTTGAATAGAATATCTAGTAAAAAATGATAAAATCTTAAAAATACTGTAGTTTCAGAGCTATTTCTCAGAATAAGCAGTCTCCAGTTTACAAATTGATTTAGAACCAGAATAAACTTTACAATGAAGCTATTAGCACAGTTTCAGCCATGTTATGGGTTAAATAGGATTTAGTGGGCTGGGCTGGAAATTCAGTCCCCATGTAAAGCATTTGTCTTAGGGACAACACCTTCATTGCCTCAAGGGTATAATTACAGAGAAGTTCCATGAATTTATTTGTCTCCCCTCCTCCTGTCACAGTTAAAGTGGAAAATTCCACCATGATCTTGGAAATAAACGCATAGCTCAGGAACCAGTCTCACTCTTGGAGACTCTGAGAAGGATCTTGTTCAGGCCTTGGAAACCCAAGGAGGGGTCGCTATGAGTCGGGTCTGACTCGACGGCACATAACAACAACAACAACATGCACCCTATGCTGGCTACTTCTAGCCACGTTTGTCAAGGGGATGTTTATCATTCCAAGATTCTGAAATGTTTGTAGCTCAGCAGAAACCAGGGTTACACTAATTTCTGTTTAGCTTCCTCTCCAGTCCCAGCAACCCCCATCCTACAGCTGGAAGAGTGCTGCACCCACAACAACAGCGCTACACTGTCCTGGAAACAACCACCTCTGTCCACAGTGCCCGCTGAAGGATATATTCTGGAGTTGGATGATGGCAGTGGTGGTCAGTTCCGGGTAAGTTGAGAACCTATTACTTGTTAACCAAAACCAGAGACTACCTGAAAGAACCCATCATGGAGTCTCAGGCCTGGCTCCTGGAGATGGGCCATCCTGGTAGGGCCTGACTGCCCTTCCACTGAGTCTTGCTTTCTCCTGGGCCATGAAAGATGAACAAAGGAGTATCTAAATGGAAACCGTCCTGTTGTTGTTGTTATGTATCACTATGGAAGTAGATTGCCCAACCTTCCTTCCAAGGAGTGGCTGGTGGGTTTGAACCAGGAGCCTTCTGGTTAGCGTCAAGTGCCTTAAGCACTACGCTACCAGAGCTCCTGGAAACTGTCCTACCTTTCTTTCTCTTCTTTTAATACATTTTATTGAAATATCATTTATGTAAGTGATATGCACAAAACTAAAGTGACAAGGATCAGTGCTTTTTTTTTTTTTCAGTGTTCCCTGCTCCCCCAACACCTGGTAACCAACAAAGGAAGTTTCCTTCCATATATAAACCTTTCCTTGACTTTTCCCAATAATGAACTAATATTATATTTGTCCTTCTGTGATTGACTTATTTCACTCAGCATAATGTCCTCCAAGCTCATGCATGTTATGCAGTGTTTTGCAGATCCAACGTTATTCTTTAGTGTTGCATAGCATTCCACTGTGTGTATGTACCATAGTTTGGTTATCTGTTCTTCTGTTGCTGGGCGCACCTAGGTTGTTTCCATCTTTTTGCTGTTGTAAATAGTGCTGCAATCAACATGGGTGTGCATATATCTGTTCTTGTCCTGGCTCTCACTTCTTTAGGATATATACCTACTAACGGGATTGCTGGGTCAAATGGTATTTCTAATTCCAGCTTTTTAAGGAATCACCATACTGTTTTCCACAGTGGTTGTATCATTTTACAGTTCCACCAAAAGTATATAAGAGTTCCAATCTCTCCACATCTTTGCTAGCATTTGTTATTTTCTGTCTTGTTGAACTTTGCTATTAGTGGTGGAACACAACAAAACACACTGCCATCAAGTCATATCCAACTCATAGCGACCCCTCACTCACCACCTGTCTCCTTTCTCATTGTCAGACTCCTGTATATCCCTGGCGTCCTTGGCAAACGGAGCCTATTCTTACGTCCCTGGAATCCAAATGAGAATGCTGTCACTTTAAATATCCAAAATGGCCACTGCTTGTGAATATTTAAAATAGCTGTGCCCTTGGTCACTTTAAATATCCAAAATGGCCACCACTTATAAACATTCAGAATAGCCGTGCCCTTGGTCACTTTAAATACCCAAAATGGTCACCGCTGGTAAACATTCAAAATGGCTGCATCCTCAGACAGCCAAAAGTCCACAGCTCAGATTGTCGACCTCCTTGCTGTTTCCCTTCCTAGCTGGTGGCCTATGCCACCAGTGCAGTCATCCTTGCAGCCCTTGGCAACAAGAGCTGATCTTTAGGTCACTGCTCAGGTCCCAACACCACTTGGAAATATTTAGGCTGTTGGTGTCGTCAGAGTAGCTGACAGTCCGCAGCTCCATCTGTCTCCATACTCACTGTTTTCATTCAGGTTTCTCCACTAGTTGGTGCGTAATCCACTACCGTATACTTCCTTTCGAAGCTCAGGGCTCCAGGATTATCTTCTGTATCTCTGTCAATTTGTTTGTCTTTTCTTTGTTGAAGAGGGTCTGTGTAGCTTGTCTGCCTATCCCACTATCTTAATGGAAGTATGTCCTACCTTTCTTAAGAGAAAGTGCATGTAGTACTGCAAGCTCTGAAGTTAAATTGCCTGCATTCACATCCCACCTCCACCAAAACAGCTATGCGACTGAACAATTCTCACCTCTGAGTCTTCAGGTCCTCATTAGTAAAAAGGGATGATATAAAAAATATATACCTCATGCATTGTTGTTAAGCTTTAATTAGATAACCCATATAGAATATTCAGCATGCTGCCTAGCACGTTGCAAGCCAAGAGTATTAGCTATTTTTATTACTTTGTTGTTGTTGTTGTTGTTATGTGCTGTAGGGTCAGACTCGACTCATAGCTACCCTCCTTGGGTTTCCGAGGCAGTATCACTACGGAAGTAGATTGCCCAAGCTTCCTTCGGAGGAGTGGCTGATGGATTTGAACCGCCAGCCTCCTGGTTAGCAGTCAAGTGCCTTAGGCACTATGCTACCAGAGCTCCTTTTATTATTATAGTGTTTATTATTAATAATATATAATTTTCTAATATTTGTCCCTGTATTCTACAACTTTCCAATGTCTTTGATAGGCATCCTTCTAAATTGACATGATCGCCCATTGTTCTTTACCTGTTCTAAGAGGCTTCTCTAGCAAAGGTTTCCTCAGTTCTATAGTTCTTTCTGAGCCTTTGGCCAGATAGAGCTCATGCCAAAAAATTATCATATCCCCAAGGCAAGGAAGCACTAACCACTGGGAAGCTTGTGACCTGACCTTTTGGTAGGATGTAGCTGTAGTGACTACATCAGGTATCTGTGTGAATGCCTGTCTTCCTGTGTCTATGTTTCTCTCATACATACACAACCTTATTCTCATCTATTCCCTCCCTTCCCTCACCTTGCTTTCCACCCTTCTATGCCCAATCCTGCCTGATTCTCTTTTTGAGTTCTCTCAGAGCCTGGGACTTCCCAAGGGAGCAGTTCTTCTAGGTACTGAAACCAGTCCCTACACTGATAAAGATGGACCTCTGTCCAAAGGCAGACCCTGAGGAAAGGGCTTCCTTCTGGCCACCACCAATAACCAAACCTGGCCCACTGATATTCAAGAACAGAGTTTTCTAAGGCCTCCAGAATGCATTTTGTTTCCTCAGCTAGGTTTAAATACTTGAGAGCAGGGACCATGTCTTCTAGAATTCTCCTCCGAGTTCTCTCTTTTGATAGGCCTTACATACATATTTGTTGACTTATTGGCATGACAAAATCAAGTTTTCACCTTTCCAAAGTAAGACTTAGGATCCACTTCTTTATACTCTATATGTGTGTGCACTCAAATGTGTGCACACACATATAGAAAAATCCTTTATATTCATCAGCTTCTCCCTTCTCATTTGGCTGTCTTTTCATGTTTTGTTTTCAAAGGTTTTCTTTTTCCTTTTTTTTTCCTTCTGTGAAAAGAATTCTCTTAGCTTTCCTAGTTCTCTAAATAGATTATCTCACTTTGTCCATTCTTGTTCCTAGGACAGCCTGTAGGCAGTCTTCCAGGCATCTGCCTGTGCCTGACTCTCTTCTCTTGCTGTTCAAAGGTCTCATGCACCGCCCTGCTGCCATGCCCACCTGGATGCTGGTGACTTTCCAGTCTTCTCTCACTGATACTCTTCTCTCCTGAGAGACACACACAGATTTTCACTGGTTAGCTAGAAATGTTCATTTGTACTCCTTGGAAGTCCCTTAAATGTGTATGTTTTAAAACCCATAATTTTCTCCTATAATTTAGCCCTGTCTCTCCTACATCCCAACTACCCATTCTCCCACATATCAGGCTCAGAATTTTAGCCTCTTCTGGATCCTTTCTTCTCATTGAGCCCCAATAACAAAGAAGTCCTTGAATCCCACCTATCTATCCCTCCTGGTCAACCCATGGCTCTCTCCATCTGTGATCCCTATCCCACAGGCCACCATGAGAATGTATGACCACCCCACAAAGTTTCCACCAAGAAGCTACTTACGCCTCCATGTCTCTAGTTTGTTCCTTGCCTTGCTACTTAAAGTGTGGTCCTCACCCAGCAATATCAGCTTCAACTGGGAACTTGTTAAAAATGCAAAATCTCAGATCCCACCCCCAGTAACTTACTGGATCAGAAACTGCATTTTAACAAGATCCTCAAGTGATGCATACGTACATTAAAATTTGAGAAGCACTGAATGAGAGGACAAAATATTCCAGTTTTTCTTACTGCTGCAGTAGTAATGAATCTCTAGGCAATCCCACATACCAATCGTCTTATCATCCTACCAAAGAGTTGTCACATTAAGGCTGTGCTCTGAATGCAAATTATTTTTACTCATTACACCAGCATAATTTTGCAAAGTGCATAGCTGAGGAGGGAGGCAAATGCCTAACCTATGCTAAAGATGCATTATGCTAAGATTTATTTTAAGCCCTTGAAATGTCATTGTTCCTCCTTTCCCTCTGTACTATGATGAAAACCTACCTATTCTTCTTCAGCTTTGGAGAGTAGTATTCATGGTAGTTCCTGAAGGTATCAATGGTGTTATAGACAGAATAGAGCCCATCATGTTTTCACACATAATCTTTTACAAACCATACTGATAAGAGCTCAGTTAAGTGTAATATCCTGTATAAATACCAAGATAATGATAATGAGCAAAATCCTAACTATAAGCACCCAATTTTAATTTTTAAGCCCTGCTAATAGCTATTAATATTCATTACACTGCGAGGTTCCGCTAAATACAAAGGCACTATGCTAATCATCTTGCCTGCATGACTTTGTGAAATTCTCACAACAACCTTATGAGGTGGATATTATTGTCCCTATTTACAAATAAGGAAACTGAAGGTAAAAGAGATAACTCAAATGGCCCAGTATCTCACAGGATTTAATTCCAGATGGGGCTGATTCCAAAACTCTTGCTCCTAAAATTTCAGCAATGCTGCCTCCCTCCCTTGCCCCTCACAAGGGTTTGCTTTCAATGGTGATCAGTCATTTTTTGACCCTCAGGAAGTATATGTTGGAAAGGAGACAATGTGCACTGTGGATGGTCTTCACTTCAACAGCACATACAACGCTCGGGTCAAGGCCTTCAACAAAACAGGAGTCAGCCCATACAGCAAGACGCTGGTCCTCCAAACGTCTGAGGGTAAGGCCCTTCAGCAGTACCCCTCAGAGCGAGAACTGCGTGGCATCTAAAATGGCAAGCCCGGAGGTAACCCCACCACTCCCACATTACTGACGTGTTCCATGACTTGCTCTGCACTCTGGCACAGAGCGGCTGTTCCTCTTCTGCCTTTAGAGAGCCCATGGGATGTGGATGTGACCAAACCAAAGATTCCACATCGGCAGTTCACATGGCTTGGGCCGTCTGCTTCCTTTGATAACACTCTAAATAAGCTGCAGTGGAAGAAGCTGAAAATGAAGCCCTGAATGTGCCCCCGGTGTGTCAGACGAATGTGTCTAGGCTCTAGAGCAGGCTCCCATTCTCCATCGATACACATAATTGGCCAGTTTTGTCCAGATGATTCTAAATTTGCTTTGTAGTATTAATTTGCTCCTGAGGGTGGGACCTAGGTTCTTTCCAACCTTGGATTTGTGTGACTGAACATGTTTCAAATGGGCATGGGATGCTAGAGCTGTTCAGAGAGGCCCTGTCGGCCACTCCTGGCTTAACCAGCATGGACCGCTTCCATTTCATGCCCCAAGCCCAGGCCGTCGGCACCAGGACTGAGACTTCCTGTGGGCACCAAATAGGAAGAGACCGGCAACTCTGCATTACCTCGCCATTTTCATCTTTGCCAGTCCCTCTAGGCTTTGTTAGGCTGCCAAGGGCCACTGTACAAGGTTAATCTCTAGAGAACTTTCACTTCCTGGCTGTACTGTAAATATTTTGGTCATCAAAGACAAGTGATCCATCTCAGAAGAGGGGCTTGAATTTGATGGCCAGGCATAATCTCTAAGGCTTTTAACATTTTTATTTGAAGAGCAACACATGAAATTAAACTTGTGAAGAGTTATTTGTGACCAGTGCCAAAGCATTTACAGACTTTCTGGGTGTCATTTTATTCATAGACATCACCCCCTTCCCACCGGCATTCTCCATAACTTCCCTTTGCAGAACTGATTATGTTGATTTTGTTCAAGTGCAAAATGTTAGCTAAAAGAACTGTGGTGGTATTTTTTCCTACTCACAACACACCTCACATGTGCCAATCACCCCTAAAATGGTTCACATGGTTAAAAACAAGCACAATGTAGAATCCTACAGTGAACTTGACAGGCCCCTGGCTGTGAAAATGGTGCTTTGGAAAGCAGATGTAAGTCTATGAGTGATGCTACTTAAAGAGATGGATTTATTGTAGGAAATGTCCACATGACCTATTCCCATTTGAGTTACAGTGACACCATAGCTAGAGCCTCTCCTGGAATTCATTGTATCATCTTCTCTCTGGGATGACCTACCAGCTTGAGAGCAGTTACCTTCTTTCCTGGAGCACCATGCCACATGCTATAGCCCTCTGTGAGATTTCTAGATGTGATGCGTAAGGCACTTGATGGAGACAGCCTCATTCCACTTGTATGCACAAAGCAGATTGATTGAAGAATGAAGTGCATGCCATGAGAACAGGCAGATAATTTGCAGTAATGTTGCTAATCTATGTCATCAGACCTACAGGAAAACTATTTCTATTCATAATACATCATAGAAATCATACTATTCTGCTAATATCGATTCTTAGCATAGCAGCCTGAACATTTATGTCTCTCTTTTCATCCTGCAGGATGATGTAGTTTCTCAGTTTCTTTTAATGTTCGTAAGATTATGGTGTCTAATTTAATAAATTACAGGCTTGGAACTGCGATCCTTGGTACCACAGTCACAGAACTGGGTGTCATTTTCTAAATGAAACTAATGGAACAAGTCCTCTTCCAACAAAGAAACTGTACTGTAGAAATTAATTTCCTCCATGAATTTTATATATTGTGTACAAATATAAGGTATGTATCTGAATACAAAAAAAAAAAAAAACTTAACATCATATAGATATCTCTCTGTTACTGCACAGAAGTGATTTTCTCATAATGAAATAAAGTTCACACACATACTTTCTCCATAACTTTGGTTTGTTCTATTTGTTTCTCCCTTATTCTAATTCATTCAAACAGTGAGACAAGATATAGAAAGCAAGAAAATATAATTATTAGCTCTTTGAAAAATATTTGATCTGTCACAAGAGAAAGCTTATAGAATTAAAGAATTATATCTTTTTTGTTGTTTTTTTAGAAGTCAGTGAGAAAAGAATGCTATTAACAAAGTTTTGATACTTTAACTATACTTATATTAGTCTTATTTCCTACAGTTTTTGGAAAGGTATGCTTTGGAGAGTTTGTCTTTGTTGTTGCTTTTGGGGGTGGTGGGGTGGTTTGTTTTGGCTTTCTACTGTAACAAAACCTTTCACATTCTTAGCAAGAGTTAAAAGAGAAAAATTATTAAATTACAATTACAATGCAATGTTGGAAGTGGAGTCTAGCAGGAAATACAGTGTGTTACAACACATTGGTGGTGGTGGTGGTGGGGGGGGAACAGCATGACCCAAGGGAGCAGTGAAAGTTTTCCAGAGAAGAGAGGTATTCCCTCTCTTCTGTGTCTAAGGCAAAACATTGCCTTGATCTGACCATGAAAAGGAAGTCTTTTCATTAATCAAAAACATTGAGCACTTCGATTATGTCAGGCACTGTGCACAGCCCAGGTCACAGAGATGAATAAGGCACAGCCCCTTATGAGTTTTGCTCCTCTCTCCTGCACTTCATGGTACATTACTCAAAGCACCTAAAAACTAAAGTACCACCTTACTTCTCTAGAACTAAGCTATCCGCCCTACAATCTAAATAGCCATCTTACAACCAGGAAGGAAGCAATGGTGATCACTGATCAGCTAAAAGAGAAAGACACCAAGTCCAGGCATTTAAGCTCCTGTGCTTTCTTCACAAAATAGCCCTTAATCTCACTTAGCTCTCACTTACTCTTAGGTTAGGAACACAGTTCCAATGAACTCACTGATCCATTTGCCAAGACCACAGCAGACTGGAAGTATCACATAAGAAGAGAAGAGAGGGGTTGTTATAGAAGTATTAGGGTTCTTAGCAGCAGAGTATGGAAGGTAACTGGAAAAATGGAGAACAGACCCCTCCCCCCCAAAAAAAATCAAAAGAAAGCATTCTGTGGCATTTGCTCTGAAAGAAGTCATAAAGTACATAGAGTATTTTAGAAAGATTTCTATCTAAAACACATAACAGTCAGTATTTTCTCTGTAACCCTTGGTTATGGGATATTAGATATATCTCTGAAAGCTTTATGGAATCACAATATGAAATAAGGTGAAAGCTATTACAATGAGGCTCACTCATTTTGTGTCATGCTTCTAAGCTCTTTCTTCATTGTCCATCAAAAAACTTTAAGAAAAATGACAGCAACATGAGAGTCAGCAATATATTTAAGAAACTGAAATCCAGTTGAATTACATAAAAACAATCTATTCCATGTTTCACTATACAGTGCTGAGGGAAAATATAAGGATTTTTTTTATATATGTAGACTTAGACCTCCAAACCCATTACTAATGTCTAAACCATCCCTTATTCTGTTGCTGCAGTATTCCAGATTCACCTATGTATTAGTTTCCTATTGCTGCTATAACACATTTCCACAATCTTAGTGGCTCAAAACAATACAAATTTATTATCTCACAGTTCTGGGGGTCAGAAGTCCAAAATGGGTGTTGCTAGGCTAAAATCAAGGTGTTAGCAGTCCTGGGTTCCTTCTGGAGACTCTAGAGGGGCACTTTTTCCTCTTACCTTTTCCAGTGTCCAGAGGGTGCCTACATTCCTTGGCTTGTAGCCACTTCCTCCATACTCAAAGCCAATCTCTCTCTGTCTCTAACTCTCCTACCTGCCTTTAGTGAAGACTCATGTGATTACATTGGGCCCACCCAGATAATTCAGGACAACCTCCCTGTCTCAAAGTCTTTAATCACATATGAAAAGTTCCTTTTCGGGTGTAAGGTAACATATTCACATATTTAGGGGATTAAAACAAGGACATCCTCTGGTAGGGGGCGGGGATGGGGTGGTCATTATCCTCCCTACCACACCCTATCAGGAAGGTATTACTATCATTGTCCTACTTCAAAGATGAGACAACTGAATTGCTGAGAGGTTAAGTAATGGGTCAAACCTGAACCTTTCATCCTTCAATGCCCAACAAAGTACATGCTGGTGCTGACATTAGAACAGTACTACTTGCACTCGGCCAAAAGGAAAGAAAGAGCGAAAACTATCCTATGCCTCTTTGCTAAGTTTCTAAAAGCATCTTATCAAACTGCCTTATATGCTCATCCAGAAACCCCACCCAGAAAAAAAGGGCCATGTTAGAGTTTTGTTTTAAAAACCAACACTTCTTTAAGAAAGAGATGTGGAAGTAGCTGCCATCTCCACCACAGTATCCTTTCTCCCCAGCCCCTCCTCAGGTCCTGTGCCTGTTCCCATGTCTCTGTGTTTCCTTCAACTCTCCATCTCCACCACCCCCACCCCCACTCCTGGCTGGCCTGCTTGCCTAGAGAGGCCCATCTCCTCAACTGGTACCAAAGGAGTACTTGCTCTTGGCTAGCGGTGATGGGTCACTGCCTGGAAAGCAAAAGCAATATCAATACCATAGCTGTGAGGACCTTGAAAGCCAGTATCAAATGAGAACTGGGACTTGGAGCTGCTCAGGTTGAAACCACAGAACTATTTATTCACAGAAGCTCTCCAGCCCTCAGATTTCAAATGTGAGGAAATGGGGGGAGAAAGTAATCAGTGATAGAGAATCAGATTTGAGATAAGGCTGTAAACTCCAGCACTCCCAGAAAATAGGTACCCAGGGCATTGAAGAAAATACTGCTCTTAAGCATGCTTTTAGTTGAATGTCCATAGTAGCCATCTCCCCAACACTTCTGAGGGCTGTTTTAACTAATGACAAGAAATTGTTCGGGATTCTTGAAATTGCATCTTAGAAATTGCTTTCTAAAATGGTGGTATAAACCAAAAAAAAAAAAAGAAAAACCAAACACTGCCGTCAAGTTGATTTGACTCATAGCGACCCCTCCT